AAGTTATTTGCAGGCACAGTTTGATTGTTTCCTACATGCACTTATGCTCTATTGGTGGACAAAGATACAGATGATGTCATAAACATTTGTTTTTGTTTCTTTGTTATGTATTACAAAGCAGACAGATTCCATGCTGCCATGCATCTGTTCAGTAATAGATCACAAAAGACATCAAAATGTGGTAAGAACATCAGTGACACACTCGGCTGAAAAAATTCACAGATTCTGTGACACACTCTGGTAATGGCTTATGTGAATAGTTTTTGTTTTTTCCACATTTTGATACTATCTGATGCTATTTGATGCTAAAGATTAGTGAACTCTTAGGTTGAAAGCAAGAATTAGTTAGGAATCCGAGCATACTTCGTTCGCATTTGTCCTCTGATTTCCTTACTGGCCACCACAATGGCAACTAATATTTAAGTGGGGGCAAGTGAAAACTGAAATTGACTGGCCCACTGGCCAAGTGACTCACAATTTTTTTTTTTCCTGCCCTGCTACTACTGAACAGATGCATGGCACATGAAACCTACATGTATTTGGTAAGAGCCCAATTTCGTACAAATAAAATGTACAGCTGTAACAGGGCTCTAGAGTGTTGTCTGATCATCCCACGGTAAGGCAATCGATTGAAATTGATCCATAAATTGATATAAATCGATAAATTGAAATTAATGTAAGTGTTATCAGTGTTATCAATTAATTGAAAGAAATTCATACTCACATGCTAGAGAAGTTTCAAGTTATCGATTTGATTTCACCAGATTTATCAGTCGTTAGAGAATCAGTTGAAAGTTGGTCTCTCTTTGTTAGTTCACATACACTGTAGAAAAACTGTCCCTCAACACACTGTTTGATTGTAACGTTTTTTTATGTAGATTTCAAAGGCACTACCAAACACCCCGAAAACATAGTCCCTGATACATGTATGCCAGCAAAATATTCTGCTTACAAGATACAATGTTATGTTTTTATGCAATTGTATTCATGATTCCATATTTCACTTTATATCTTTTGTTCATTTCTTTCTTATTAAATGTTGTTCAAAAGATAAGCTGGTATCAGCAAGATCGATTATGCTTATTGAAAATTTGATCACAATCGATTACTCATGACGAATCCTTTCATTGATTTCTGATATCACTGACTAATTTCTATTGATTGTTATCAAATAATCGATTGACTATACTGTGTCGTCCAAGACAAGTAGATTTTCCTGCCTGGGCAAGTTACTCTTCCCTTTTTTCAAGTCCTATGGAGTTTTCATGACAGTTTGAGGTACATGTATACCTCTTTATAAAGTATCTTATTTTTTTTTTATGAAAGAAAATTCCACAACATTTAACATACTATCAGTACAAGTGGGTGCAATGTCCATGTACAGGTGTGTATAACAGCATATTGTAACTTGCATGTAGGTACAACTGTAGACACTTGAGTAACTTCAGAATACTTGCACTAGCGTAAGAGAAATTTCTCTGCTGAA